CTTCTATTGCTTCTCCTTTAAGCACTCCATCCGTCATACTGACGAGGTCCTGTTGCACTGTTGAGTCAAGGCATATATGACTTAATGAATCGAAACGTTTTATCTCGTTTTTACCCCCTTATTTCAATTTTATGCATTTTGTTCTATGTAACAGCAGTACAAAACGCATATTGTCACGGGGTTGTCTGCGCGTGCGTGTGCGTGTGTGCGTGTATGTGTGTGTGTGTGTGTGTGTGTGTGTGTCTCACATTTTGTTCCGCACTTTCAACTCGGGAACCACAAAAGCTAGGTGGGTGAAATTTTAGCAAAGTGTTCTCCGCCAACGTATGACTTCGCAAATTTAAATTCAGCTTTCCCGTACCCACGGGTAACACGTGCGGTCTCATAAAGTTTTGGAGGGTAAACTATTACCTCGAGAGCCACAGAATCCAGGATGCTGAAATTTCAGGGTAATGACCTCCTGCCCACGCACAACCTTGCAAATTCAAATTCAGTGTTCCCGCGCTATCGAATATTACCTACGGCCTTGCGAAAGTTTTGGCGGGTAAATTATTATCTCGGGAACCACGAAATCTAGGAAGCTGAAATTTTAGCGCAGCATCCCCTGCCCACATTTAACTCCGCAAATTTTCAACGTCCCCGTGGAAGTTTTGGCGAGAAAAATCACCTCGGGAGCCAGGAGTGCCAGGAGACTGAAAATTTCGGGAGAATGTCTCGGGTCTAAGCAGGGCTTCAAAAACTCGAGTATACCGAGCTCTCAAGTACGAATACGTGAAAATTTTGCCGCAAAAATCACTTGAGAGGGAGAAAATTAGGAAGCTGAAATTATGGAAGGATATTCACCCATCGAACTTTCAAATTCAGCTTTCACGTACCGATGGGATTTAAAGGGAAATTTTAACAGGAAATCTCGCAACTTAGGAAATAAACAATATTTCAACTACTTCTGCACAGACCAAAGCGCAAGGCAGTGAAAATCATTAGCAGGCAATCGTTCGGTGAATGGAATTGCACAAAATGCATGATCGCACCAGCTTTTCCGGTGCCCGCTGCTATTTATTAATTGTTATCTTCCGGATTTTCACCAGTTAAGCTTCTAGGGCTAACCTGGTTGCTACAATCTAATTAGTAGGAAGCTGCATGAATCACAAATCTCCTTCGCATGCAAGTGCTGGAGAAATGAAGCTCTCTGTTCGCTTTGGTGTTTCCCTGTGGTGCTCACAGAAGAGTGCGCCACGGTTCTAGTGCATATCAAGTTGAAACG